TTCCACATGATCTCATTCCTTTATGGATTATAAAGACCATTATAAACTTATTAACAATAATAGATACAGAGGCAGAGCAGCCTCGAACAGACTGTCAAACTATAGTGGGATGGCCAGGGCAGGTTGGGGGTCAGGAAGGGAGGGTAAGAGATCAAGCAAAGAGGAGAACCAAGATGGTGGCGTAGGGTGTAGACCTGTGCGTGCTGCCTCCCACAACATCATTGAAACTACCAACTATAAGACAAACAACTACCATTCAGAACCATGGGGAAGTTGGCCCAGTGGAAGTTCTACAACTGGAAGGAAAGAAAGAAGCGCACTGAGACTGAGTAGGAGAGGCAGAGGCACCAAGAACAGAGGTATGGAGCAGTGCGCCAGGCAGTTTTTTTCAATCAGAAGGGGATACAAGCTCTTGAATCCACTGAACTTGTTTGGGGCGGGACTCTGAGGTCCCAGACCCCTATGGGAAGAGGCGGGACTGTCTTGCAGCAGGTCAGAGAGTGAGGGTGGCTTTCTCGCGGAGCTGCTCGCTGGCACTCAGAGACGCAGAGATGCGGAGTCGCGGAGACGCCATTGCTGTTTGCTCTGCCCTGGTGATTCCCTGAGACCCTGCCCCACTCAATTTACATCCCCATCCAAGCTGTGCCAGTGGCACAAAAGGAACCACCTGCGCTTTTGCAGCCTAACCCAACAAACTGCAGATTTCAACTCCTTGCATCCATAAGGGACACACTCAAGAAGCAGAATCAGGTTCGGAGGAAGCTGGAGCTGGACCCGGCTGGGCCGGCGACATGGAACCGCATAAGCAGGTCCACCGGATCTAGTCTCACATGGGACGCCAGGAGATGCACTTAGTAGAAAATGAAATCCAAGCAAGCATACCAGATATTCAGCCAGCTAGAACTTCTTGAGATTTTGTCCAGCAAGAAACCTCCCAACAAAAGACAGAATGCCAAACTTCGTGTTGACCAGTTAAAGTATGATGTCCAGCACCTGCAAACTGCTCTCAGAAACTTACAGTATCGGCGATACGCAAGAGAGCAGCAGGAGAGACAGCGAGAGGAGCTTCTGTCTTGCACCTTCACCCCGAACGAGGGATGCGGTGCCCTACAAGGTTGCGTGAGGCTGCGACGGCCCCTGCAAGGCTGTGATGGCCCCTGCAAGGCTGCAACGGCCCCTGAGAGGCTGCGACGGCCCCTGGGAGGCCGACAGAACCGCGCAAGCCACCCAGACAGCTTCGTCGACAGCCCGCGAACCAGCTCACAGCCCCACGCACAACTATCACCCGAAGGGCGAGAGGGGCAAGAACAGCTGTAGTGTTGCTTTCTCCTCACTTTTGGCAGCGAAATCCTCATTTTAAACGTAAGAGGACACATTATTTTAAAAAGCCATTATGTGTCTCCGTACCCTTTCTGAATAGAGTGAGAACAAGTCGTGAGAGACCTTTCTGAGCACAGGGACACGTCGTGGATGGAAATAGTACATTTTCCATGTGTATGGCTTTTGACCTGGCGACAAAAAGCGTACACCTATGGATGAGGACAGTGGGGGGGTAAGGGCAGAGGGTGAGGTGGGAACTGGGTGAAGAGGAGCTATGGGGGGGAAAAAGAGGGAACAACTGTAATAATCTGAACAATAAAGATTTATTTTAAAAACAAATAAATAATTTATTAAACCAAGAAAAAATAAATAAAATACCAAGGGCAAAAGACAAAGAGAGAATATTAAAAGCAGCAAGAGAAAAAGAGTTAGTTAATACAAGGGAGTACCCATACGACTGTCAGCTGATTTCTCAACAAAAACTATGCAGGCCAGAAGGGAGTGGCAAGAAATATTCAAAGTGATGAATAGCAAGAACCTACAACCAAAATTACTCACCCAGCAAAGCTATCATTTAGAATTAAAGTTCAGCCCTAACCGGTTTGGCTCAGTGGATACAGCATCAGCCTGCGGACTGAAGGGTCCCAGGTTCAATTCCGGTCAAGGGCATGTACCTTGGTTGAGGGCACATCCCCAGTAGGGGTGTGCAGGAGGCAGCTGATCGATGTTTCTCTCTCATCGATGTTTCTAACTCTCTATCCCTCTCCCTTCCTCTCTGTAAAAAGAAAAAATAATCAATAAAAAATATATTTAGAAAAAGAATTAAAGTTCAGAAAAAGAGCTTCACAGATAAGAACAAGCTAAAGGAGTTCATCACCACTAAACCAGTATTACATGAAATGCTGAAGGGTATTATTTAAGAAGAGGAAAAAGGTAAAAGATAAAAATTATGAATAACAAAGTAACAACAAATACATATCTATCAATAAGTGAATCTAAAAATCAAGTGAATAAAAATATGATGAACAGAATAAACCGGTGAATGTAATAGAATCAGGGGCATAGAAAGGGAGTGAATTGACAATTCTCAGGGGGGAAGGGGACTAGGGGTGCGGGAAGAGACTGGACAAAAATATAATACCTATGGACGAGGACAATGTGGGGGTAAGGGCATGGGGTGGGGTGGGAACCGAGTGGAGGGGAGCTATGGGGAGAAAAAAGAGGAACAACTGTAATAATCTGAACAATAAAGACTTATTTAAAAAAATACAAATAAAAGAACCAAAAAACAACAACAAAATAATGGTGAAACAAAGACCTTTTCTGAAAAAGGAGTAATCACCAGAAGGTCCAACTAAAAGAAATACTTAAATGTGTTATTTAGTCAAATGAAAAGATTCCTAAATGAAAATCTGCAGATGCAGAAAGAATAGAGAGTAACATGAGAAATATGTGGGCAAACCTAAACCAATCATGTCTTATAGGGTAAAATACATATTTACACACACACATATACATTTCAACAATGTAACTTGAGGAGGGATAACTGAAATATGAGCATTCTTAGCTCCTTGAATTGTTTGGAGGAAGTACCAATTAATAATACACATTGGTAAGTCAAGGATGTATGCCGTAGTCTCTAGGGTAGCCACTAACATAATAGTATATAAGAATGTATAAGTTCTAATAATGCGGTGGCTGTTGCCAACAAATACATAAAATCATAACTCACACAAAAAGAAGGTATAAGAAAGAAAAAAACAGAACAGATAGATCTAGAATGCAAGTAGTACCGCTGTAATCATAAACACAAAATATATCATTAGTGAATGTAATCAGCCAGATGCTCAAATTAAAACACCAAGGTTTTCACCCTGGTTTAAAAACAAAACATAAAACAAAAGCAACTACATCCTGCTTACCAGGGACACATCTATCCTAATAAAAGGATAATATGCTAATTAGACTGGATATCTTCCAGACAAAGCCACAGTGGTGGGGGCCAGGGCAGAGGCAGATAGGGACAATCAGGCCAGCCGGGGAGAGCAGTTAGGGGCGATCAGGTTGGCAGGGGGAACCTGTTAGGGGGAGATAAGGCTGGCGGGGGTGGGGGGCAGTTAGGGGGCGATCAGGCTGGCAGGGCAGTTAGGGGCATCAGGTCGGCAGGCAGAGGCAGTTAGGGGCGATCAGACTAGCAGGCAGAGTGGTTAGGGGTGATCAGGCAGGCAGGCAGGTGAGTGGTTAGGAGCCAGTGGAACCAGACTGCGAATTGAACATCCCCTGAGGAGTCCCAGATTGGAGAGGGTGCAGGAGGGACCCCCCTCCCCGTGCACCAGGCCTCTAGTTAAATATAAGACCACAAAAAGATGGACAGCAAAGGGGAAGAAAAGTTATACAATGAAAAACTGATCAAAGCAAAATTTCACTATTTTAAAAGTATAGAATAAAAGAATTCATAACAAACAGCTTCATTCACCAGAAGATTTAATAATTCTAAAATTTCATGTATCTATTAAAACAACCTCAAAATATGAAGGAAATAGATAAAGAATTATGAGAAACAATTGTAGTGGGAAATTTTATATACCACTTTCAAAAACTGATAGAACATGTAAATTAAAAATTAAAATACAGAATATTTGAGTAATATGATAAACTTGACCAAACTGATATAGAAGAATCCCATCTTTAACAACTGCAGAAAATACAAATTTCCCAGGCAAAGAATATTTACAAAAAGTAATCAAGCTAGACCAGTGGTTCTCAACCTTCTGGCCCTTTAAATACAGTTCCTCATGTTGTGACCCAACCATAAAATTATTTTCGTTGCTACTTCTTAACTGTAACGTTGCTACTGTTACGAATGGTAATGTAAATATCTGATACGCAGGATGGTCTTAGGCGACCCCTGTGAAAGGGTCGTTCGACCGCCAAAGGGGCCGCGACCCACAGGTTGTGAACCGCTGACCTAGACCATAAAGCAAATCTCATCCATTTTCACTGAATTAAAATCGTACAGAATGTTTTCAGACCACAGTGTAATTAAATGAGGAATAAATAACTGTAAAATCTCCCTGTCTGGAAAATAGTAAATGCACTGCTAAATAATCTATGAGTCAGGGAAGATATCACAATGAACATATTTTGAAATAAATAATAAAAATGATGTATCATTTGTGGGATGCAGCTAAAGTCATTAGAAGATAATTTATCATCTTCAATACATAGAAAAAGGTTGAAAATTTAAAAAAATCTAAACATCCAACTCCTGGTTGTAAAAAAAGCTTATGTATCAAATAGTCTTCATAGCACCACTCCTACTAGCAAAGAACGGAAGATAGTACTAGTAAACCAGCACAGCACACAGGGTACTCCCAAGGTGCCCTTGAAACTTATCCCAGGATACTACTGATTTTTGTTTGCCTTTCTCACTAAGCCACAAATCCTTAAGAGCAGCAGATAATGTCTTATTCATAAATCCTTAGGACTTGGTAGAGTGCATAAAACTCAGTAAGTACTCAGAATTTTTAAAACTGTTTTTATTGATTTTTAGAGAGGAAGGGAGAGAGAGAGAGACAGAAACATCAATGAGAGAGGATCATCATCTATCGGCTGTCTCTTGCATGCCCTTATTGGGGATTGAGCCCGCAACCTGGGCATGTGCCCAAACTGGGAATCGAACCCGTGACCTCTTGGTTCCTGGGTCAAAACTCAACTGCTGAGCCACACCAACTGGGCAGCACTCAGAATTTAATGGACAAAGTAAGCCAACACTTTTGCTTCTTGCAAAGAAGAAGAAATTATCTTTAAAATGTTTTTTTCTCTCCTAAAGAAGTGCTGGTGGTAATTTCTAATACACAGGAGAAATCTTACTTTATCGGTGCAGTAGCTCCTTCTGGTCCTTCGAGCTCAGAAAGGGGAACAAGATCCCATTTGAAGTGCAGTCCCCAGTTGAACCCTCCACGCACCACAGGGGACGAGCTGTAGGCCAGAGTGTCCGCACTGATGATGTCGATCACTGGGCACACAACGGTCCGCCGGTCCTCCCGGATGGCAGCCAGCAAGGGCTGCAGCCACATCACGTTCACTTCACAGTGGCTGTCCAGGAACACCAGGACTTCTCCTGAGGAGGCAAATGACAGGCTTTACAAACTCATTTGGGGCTGAAGGGGCCGCCATCACTCGCTGCCACCACTCCTCCTGTATACCCACTGTCCCTTTGCTGGGTTTAGTTGGGACTTCATTTTTAGACTCTTCTTCCCTCCTTTTTTTGTTTAAACCTACATGAACTGAAGCAAATCAATAAAAAATGAGAACTCTCCATGTAGCCTGCAGTCATATGCAGACTGAG